AAAACAACATTTAATTATAGGGAGTCACTAGGAGTCTTTTCTCTCTTCTCAGATTTAGGAGTTCCTAGAGGTCTCCCTATTTTAGGAGTTGGATAGAGAGCATGGTTGGAACTTGGAGGTGAGTTTTCTCACTTCCTTCCTGAATTTTATCTAAAGAGGTGGTTTAGGGAATCCATTGTGGATGCTTTAATAGTATGATGAAAAACCCACAAAAGAATGCTCTATATCACAATAACTGCATACCCATCATCTGCAAAACTCTCATCTACAAAGTCAGAATCTAAGCACTTTGGTTGTCCACCAAGAACATAAAGAGGATCCCCTGTTAAAAAAAAAAGAAGGGATTTCTTAAGCATTCAACTAGTCCAAGCAATAATACAGCTAATTCACAACTACAGTAGATATATAGGTGCAACCACAACCTGCACCTTGCAAATTAACAAATATGTGGCAAATGAGGATGTGAGGTTTCTCAAACCCAGGGCCTCCTAGAACCAGAGTTTTATTAAAAAGTTTACCTAACAAAGGATGTCCTATGTAAGAAAGATGGATACGAATTTGGTGTGGCCTTCCTGACTGAATCTCAACCTGTTAAACAAATCAGTGCGCTAAAGTAAGTTCTAAAATTCCAAAAGAAAACAAAAAGAAAATGAAAAAGAAAAAAACACAACCTGACTTCCTTGCTCATCGTAAATTTCAGATATCTTTTTTGTACTTATCATAATCATTAGGTTTAATTTAATTCTTGTGGTTAATAGAAAATCAAGTTGACTTTCGAATGTTGGTTTATATTTCATCCCCAGATTCCCTCCCTTCCATACAACAGTATTGTTAATATGGTGTTCGAGTTAAGCCATCAATAAATTTATCATTCATGAAAACAAAACAGATGGATATAATCATATAAGAAAAGCCTATATATGTATTCAGTAGTTTAAACTGGTAAAACTGGGGTACCTGGACCAGTGTTTGGTTTTTATGAATCTCTCTCTCAAGAACTTCAACTTTACTCAGAGCTGGTTTTCCTGGTTACGTGAAAAAATTACAGAGAGGGATAAGTATGATGGGATAGAATAG